CCTCCCATCTCACCCCCCACCCCCCCGCAGTGTCTTCTACTTATGAGCTTTTTTCTGCCGGGTACAGTGGCCTGTAGTGGCAGCGCTGCAGCCCATTTCTGTGGAGGAAAAGGGAATTCTGTGCAAAAAACTAATTTCTGTGCAAATTCTGCATGCACAGAGGTGCAGAATTCCCCCAGGAGTAATGTAGTTAAGGATTTCCCATTCCAGCACAGAGAGTGGTGATTCTTTAAAACACTTGCTTTTAAGCACTTCATGAGGAAAAGTCCCTGTTCATGAAATTGCCTCAGGACTGTTTTTATTAATAGATTTTGCTATCAAAATGCTTTTATTTAAAACTCTTACTATAGAAAGATTCTATGCTATTTTTAAAAAAATTAAGTTAAAAAGATAGAAAAGTATATCCTAAATGTTATCATTTGAAGTTTGTCATGCAAATTCATCTAAATTCATGTTAATCGTTTTCTTTTCTACATATAACCATGCTTATGGCATAGCACCTCCAAAGTCTAACGGTGCATTCCAGTGATTAATCGGAAAACTTTAAAGTTCCTCTATGAATCATTGACATTATTAAATCTTGCTGTGTTGTTAGCAATTATTCTGCATCACGGAAGCATAGGGATGTCTCTTCCAGGATGTCTACCAGGCAACTGCATTGTATGGCACACTAAACATGAGTTTATAATATTTATTTCTCAAACCTCTATTAAAATTTTTTGCTTTCAATTAAACTTTTATGGGAATGTCACTGCAGGAGGAATTTGGAGAGTGTGAAATTATGCCCTTCACATTGTAGGGAGGAGGTAGGTTGACCTGAATAATCTTCTTTGCTGGAATGTTCTTAAGATCTGTTTCTTGCAAAGCTGTGAAAGTTTACTCTTACTCTGACTCAATTGCTAAAGCTCTATAACAGACCCATCATTAAATATAATTGGTATTGAGGGTCATATAGTATTCCTGATATATTTGTGTTGCCAGTTGATCAATTTTTAATTTTAATTTGTACTACACGGAGTGACTATTAAACCTTGACATTTATCACATTATGTATGCTTGGGCAATGAGAACTTAACACAGTTTTGTGATGTAATTAGATTTTTAAATTTAGAATTAAAAAATTGTGTAACTTGCATCCAGACAGTGATAGTTGAATAGATGTTGTTTTTCAATTATGAACAAGGATAAAACCTCCAAGTCTTTTCAGTTTGGATTTCTCTTATCATTGCTCCAGTATTATGTTGGCTGTATTCCAAAACACACTGATTCCATTGTGGGAGATGTATAGTGGAAAACATTAACAAAACATTAACTGGCAGAACAGAATTTCCTTGAGTATAGAGATCATTTCTTATTTAAATATAGATGAAATTGGTAGCACAAACAATATACTTAAAAATGAAGCTTGATGTAAAGCTGATCAGCAAAGTGGAATTAAAATTGGACTTGTGCCCTTCTTTGTCTTTTTGGGATACATAAAGGTAGCCTGAAGCTTTTGTTGCTGCTGCTGCTGTTTTAAGAAAAAGGTTTATAATGCTGCTTTTTTACACTAGAAATTCAGGTTTTGTCTAGACTAGAAAATTCTGATTTGGACAACTAGTGAAAAGGTAACATCACAAGAGAATGAAAGTTGAGCTATTGAGAGGGGAAGGAAGTTTTAATGATAAAACTGTTTTTTGTTTTTCAGTAAGGTTGGGTTTTGTTGTCTTTCAATAAGATGTATTTAACTTCCATGACTAAATTTTGGAGGAGGGGCAGCCTTTGTTTAAAGACTCAGCATCCTCAACCCTTTTTACTAAGGTTCTTTCAATAAAGCATCCATGAGACCTCCCAGAGTTTTCCAGCTAAAGCAGGGAAGACAAAACTTGATATTCCTGTACTAAGATTTCTCAGGTTAAAAAAAAGTCTTAAGGCTTTATATATATCAGAGCCAAAGGCGCAAGCCCAATTTATTTAAAACAAAAAAACAAAAAACAACCCCTTACAGACCACCTCTACAAACTGCCTTACAGATAAAATTTAGAATTTCAGGGCTTTGGGGTGTTTGTAACATTTGTTAGTTTCATTAGCTTATCATAACAATAAGCATCTGAAGAATTACTTTTTAGGAATGCTTTCAAAGAGTAGGGTGACCAGATGTCCTGATTTTTATAGGGACAGTCCCAATATTTGGGTCTTTTTCTTATATAGTCTCCTATTGCCCCCCATCCCGTCCTGATTTTTCATACTTGCTGTCTGGTCACCCTATTAAAGAAGAGCGCATACTCCACCATTAGAGTTCTAAATAGCCCAAAGCACTTCAAGGGCAGAAATAATAGCATGACTATTAATCCCTGAAATTTTCTCCCCCTCGCCCTAATCGTCTCTCCCCACTCCCACCCACCCCCACCCCCGGCTGTCCTTTCTGCATTCATACTTGGTTCAAACTAAAATCAGTAGATTGGGAGAGATCAGTAATTTTTCCATAGGACAGTTTGTGCAAACCAGTGGCTGTCCCATAAAATAGCTCATGTACATAATTTTTTTTTGTAAAAATACAAATTTCTCCAAAGAATATATTATAATGGACGTCTAGGCATTAAGGAATAAGTTGGAAGGTGGTCTTGGGTACTGCTGTTTGTTTTCTTTTTCTCACTTGCTGTGTGAGAGATGTACACAGCTGGGGGGGAGAACGTGACTATTCAAGACAATCAGGAAGACTTTTGAATAGTAAGTTTTGTCAAATAATCATCTGAAAACTGAAGGTGTCCAGTCTTCTGTTACATTAGTTGTAGGTGTTAAAAGTAACAGTAGTAGGTAAACATTTTCAACAGAAGTGTGATTCAGCTAACTGTTCTTACAGGTGTGAGAAATGTGTGTGCCAAATATCTGCATATTTGCGGTCTTTGTTACAGAGTACACTGAGCATATTCTTAACCAGAAGATTGGTCCCATACATAGTTTTGGATTCCTCTACCCTATATTTTGAAGAGATGACTTAACTTTCCTCCATTTTGCCATTTTCCTCTATACTCTCATACGAGGCAGTCTAAGGAAACCCTTAATTGTATTCTTTATGATGGAGGGGCATTTTTAGCCTTGAGTTTGTAAGGTGCTTCTCTCTGTGCCTATAGGACTGAGAGATCTCCGCATGTCACAGGATTGAGCACATAGAAAGCATATCAGCAAGCTCTCTCCCCCTTTAGAGTAAGTGAGTTAACTTCCAGATTGGAACAAATCTTAGAGCCCAGCAATAATCACATGCAATGGGGACATTCCCAAAGTTTTAAAGAGGTATTTTTATCTTGCAGAAGTTTTTCTGTAAGTTGAAGATCTTGTGGGTTATTTATAAAGCCAGCCATAGAACTGTTACTGCAGCTCAGCAGCTTACCTGATGGATTACTGTCCCGCTGCTGCACACGAGGTATCTTGCTTTTAGTAGAGGTTTTGTGTGTGATTTAGGATTTGGTTAGGTCAGTCTTGCTGGTACCCTCATAACACTGACAACCCAGCTTTGGGTTTAATCACTGGATTGAAAGCCAGGGCATCATTTAAGGGTTGTGTTTTTTTTTCTAGTGCTAGTAATTAGGAAGAGATGTTGGGTGTTTAAATCTTAAGTTCCAGAACTTAAGAACAAATAGTGAGTGTAGACATTTTTAAATTAAAATTTTTCATACATTAAAAATGCAAAGAATTTTTCCCCCCAAATTAGCTTGGATTTTCAAAGAAGCTTAAAGGAGACAACTGCTCAACTCCCACTGAATGAAAATTGAAATTCAATGGGAGATGAACATCTAGCTCCCTGGGATTCCTTTGGAAAATCTTAACTTTTAAAATCATAAACATTACATATAGCTAAAAATTAATTTGACAAATCCACTGGAAAGTCTAGGAAAGGGGAATTTGGATGCCTTGTATTGAAATACAAGGAAAAAAATCTTCAAGTGCTTGCTCACGTCCATTGCATGCTAGGTGTGCGCACGCCACGTGCAGAGATGCGGGAGATTTTTTTCCCTTAGTGGCATCCATAGTAATTGGCCCTAGCACCTTCTGGAGCCCCTCACACATGCTCTGTTATAAGGGGCGCTGCCGACTCCGCACCTCTCAATTCCTTCTTACCACCTGTGACGGTTACTTGGAACCACCTTCTTGCTCTCTTGCAAGGCTTTCCCAATGGTTTGGACTCTGTAGTCTATTGTATATAGTTTTTGCAGTTAGTGTATTTAGTAATCAATCAGTACTAGTGTATAGAGTGTAAATAGTGGTCCCAGTCGTCGAGGGACATCGTCCCAAGGACTGGAGATGCCCCCATCCCCAGGTTTCAAGCCATGTACCTCCTTCGGCAAGCCCAGACCAGTGAGCAATCCGCATTTGAGCAGTTTTAAGTCACTCAGGGAAGCTTCATGTTAAGAAGAAAAATCTCTGGCAGCTGTGCACGTGTCACGTGCGCACCTAGCATGGAATGGGCATGAGCAACACATCTCCAAGAACAACAGTTATGAAAGGTTGGTAACTGTTTTTATCGTCTTTTTCATAATTACGGCAGTGCAAATGCACAGAGTTGGGTGAACGGAAACAGGATGGTCTTGAGAAGACTTGTGTGGAAAAACTAACATTTTTATATATGATTGATTTTCCTATCTACAAAATGCCTTACAGATAATACTTCTGGGAGGTTGTGTGGATTGATTCAATGGTATATGTAAAACACTTTAAAGCAGTTTCCATCTGTGGTTCTTGCAAAGCATCATAGGTAATAGTAAATGTTCAAAAATGAATTATTTAGCTTAACATTTTTATTTTGCATGACTGAAAGATAGTTGCTACAAACAATTTTTGTAATACTTATTTTATAAGGTGCTAATTACACTTAGGTTAACTCTGTTTTTAAATGTGCCCTTTTCCGTAACTCACTAATTTTCAGTTCCAGGACCACAGTTAGTGATGATTCAAACAGTTAAATAGCTCTGGTAATGAGATGTTTAGTGCCTTTCACCTCTATGCTGTCAGTTTGAATTTAGCCTACTTTACATGTGACTGGAATCTACCAGCTCATGCCTGTTCCATGCCCTGTGTGAAATGAGTTAGGTGTTGTTCTTCTTCTCGCTAGAAAAGTGTCAACATCCAAAAATCGCCATTACAAATAGCATTAAATGGAAAACATCATGACAGGTCAGACTCTTTGGTCCAAGACTAACGTTTCACTTCCCTCCAGTCACAGTTGAGGCATATTGAAGGTTCATTAGGGAAAACTTCGCATTGCCACCTGATCTGTCACTGAAGGACTTCAGTTTTCAGAACTGTTAATCTGGTATCCAATTAAAGAAGAGTTTTAAATTCACACAAAAATTAAAAAGTAAAAAAAAGCATTAAAATTATGTTGTCTTGTAATACAAAGAAATAATTTACTGTTTGTTCTGCTTGAGCTGATTTACGTGAATGGTTTATCCAAAATTGCAGAATATAATTGCATTAGATAGTTATTACCATTTTTTCTGCCTTATTCTAGCCATAATTAATAAATGGTTTTGATATCATTTTGCAATTATCTGCTTTTATAGACAAATAGTCAGCTTTTGCCTGTTCATGAATTTGTATTGGAACAAACAATATAAGCCTTAATTTTAAAAGCTTGACACTAAACTATTCACCTTGCAGGTTTGAGCTGAAATAAAAACAAAATAAAAGATCATAGGGCTACGTATCCCAAGTATCTGAAACATCTATAGGAGTTGTAGATGCACCTCTCAGGAACTGACCCAGAAATGGGTAATAAGTAAACTGATGTGAAGATTGGATTGGTATGAAATATTGGGTTGAATAATTAATCCAGTCAGTAAAAAGATCCAGTTGCATCATATGTAATATATTCATTTGGCATACTTGATTTTTTCAGTAGCCTTTACTGTTTCCTTCATATGATGGAGAGCATAGATCTTTTAAAATGTGATGCCCATAGATCAGAACAGATTATAAAGTATTATATCTAACAAGCGTGGAAAAGAAATTAGATAACTTTGTATTCCCATAATAGCAGTATTCTTGACTATTAATGGAAACTCTTGTTTCAGCATAATTTCATATCAGACGCTACCAAGAAATATGCCAAGCCACCGACCCCAAGTTGCACCCCGTTACCCAGAAGGCTATAGAACCCTGCCAAGGAACAGCAAAACGAGGCCAGAGAGTGTTTGTAGTGTGACACCATCAGTTTATGACAGGACCATAGGACCAGTAACAGCTGAAGAAAAGCGGAGATCCATGCGGGATGACACAATGTGGCAACTCTATGAATGGCAACAACGTCAATTTTACAATAAGCAAACAACTCTTACTCGACATAGTACTTTAAGTAGTCCAAAAACCATGATCAATATTTCTGATCAGGTGATGCATTCCATTTCCACATCACCTTCCCATGGTTCCATAGCTGGTTACCAAGGATATTCCCCTCAACGGACATACAGATCAGAAGTGTCATCACCAGTGCAAAGAGCAGATGTAACAATTGACCGCAGACATAGAACGCATCATGCTAAGGTGAATACTTTCCTTATACATAGTTAATAGACAAACTTATTTCCAGTTTTCTTCTTTAAATAGAATGGTTCCAGGTAACAGAACACTGACTTTCCATGTTACTTTGGAAAGTTCTGCTGTTGTAGGCATAGTTACATGCCACTGTTTTTATGAAAAAATTATTACTATATTAAATGTTTGTTTCAAAGAAAAAAATGACTTTATAAAGTCAGGTGTAGCCTGTGTAAGTGATGGGAGAAGTTATTTTCTTTTAGAGGATGGAGAAGTGTTCTCTTAATGGTATTAAATTTAATCTTGTATAGCATACTCTACATTGCTGTGAGAGCCAGAAAGCAAGTCGGTGTTCCCATTAGTCTCCAGAGTATCTTAAGGGAGTGCAAACAGGTTTCTGAAGAAAAAGGGCATTTAGAATTTCTGGGCTTGTAATCAAGGTCCAATATGATTTTTGGAAATTATAGTAATCTTAGCTTCTCTTCAGAGCACTCAAGGTCCTTGCCTATTTATTTTTCTCACCTTCAGCTACAAGTCAGACTAACTTTCTAATTACTGTTAAATTATCCAGTGAGATCACTAAGGAACAGCAGAACCACATGCATATGACCTCAGTGACCCTCCATAAGTCTGCTAGCCCTTGCCAGCTTGGGTCAGAGGGAATAAGCTAGAATCATAAACCTAGATCCCCAACATGCTTTTGGTAGACTCGTTAAATTATGCTATGCACATTGTTTCTGCAGTTGAGAGCTCCTTTTAAAAAATCATGCAGTTGTAAGTAGGATGTAAAACTAACAATTTTCCTGCCCTACACTACTTAAGGTGCTCAAGGATTTCATTGAAGCTGTTCCTTGAACTCTGACCCAGGATTCTTTATGAAATGTTGTGGCTTCCTGCAATATTGAAGCATGGAAAAGCTTTAAAAAAACCTTTAAAGATCTTTAAATTGCTTTGTGTGTTTTCCCCTTTGGGGTTGAAATACCTCCAACCAACAAAAGAGCAGTTTCTTTCTGTTTTGAAGTCCATTGCCCATTACCGCTTTGGAAATTTAATTCAACATTTTATGCAGCCCTAAAAAAGAGCATCATAGTCAAGTGCGCACAGGACATATAGTATATCTTATATAACGGTGTCTAAACTGAGTTTTCAGTTTACTTGTATAATACATTTTACTAGTATTCTATATACAATTCTTTTTAGCCAAGTTAATCTAGGAAGTGCCATTCATTGTCATTACTGATTTTAGGTTTTCAGGTTATTTATTTTGTACTTTTTAACATTAAGCTAAGTTTATTCATAAAACCTTGAACACATTGCTAATTCCTTTTTTAAAAATGTACAAGTTAGGGGACTGAATGGTTTAGGATTGATAGTGCTGAAATACTAGATTGAATCCATGTCAGCCTGATAGAGATCAAAGGCTATTTGAACAAAAGCCTTGAAATATTTCATGACCTAGATCAAATGATTCAGTGATCTGTCTAGTTCTCAACAAAAATTGTTTCATTAAAAAATACCACAACGCTTGGTCCCAATTTATTCTTGCTGGAACTCTAAGTGGAAGGGCCATGAACTGAAAGAGCCATGAAGACTGAAGTACTTTCTCAAGTTTAGAAGTGGTCCTTCCAGGGCATGGATTCAGACACGCCAGAGGATTTGAGTTGCTTTTGAATATATTTTGTAGACCAACAGAGGACTTCGTTATCTAGTGCTGTCATTCTGGGTATGTCTATACTGCAATTAGACACCTGCGGCTGGCCTATGCCAGCTGATTCGGATCTCATGTTGTGGGGCTGTTTCATTGCAGCATAGACTTCTGGGCTTGGGCTGAAGCCCAGGCTCTAAGACCCTGTGAGATGTGGGAGAGTCCCTGAGCTTGGGCTGCAGCCTGAGCCCAGATGTTTACACTGCAGTGAAACAGCCCCACACCCGGAGGCCCTGCAAGCCCAAGTCAGCTGGCATGGGCCAGCCATGGGTTTTTATTTGTGGTGTAGACATACCTCTGGCACGTTTCATAAGAATGAAATTGACTTGTAAAATTATATTAAATTCCTATTTAACCCTCAATGCAAAAAACTTTGCCAGACAACCATGGATTATAATATGCAGTCTTGTTTTTCCATAGCACGTCTTCATGCCTGAAAGAAGGTCGATGCCAGCAGGTCTGACTTTACAGCCTGTTACTCCTCAGAGCCTCCAAGGCAAAACGGTGAGTGGCACTTTTATTTAGTACATCATTTTTTTTATTTAAGAACAATCCATAAAATAAAATATGCAACACTGCAACATTTCTGTTTGTAGAGCTTGTATTAAATGCAGTCTTCAATTACCAAAGATTCTGTTTGATAACATTGAGGATTTGCAAGAATAGAAGTTTTAGTTAAAATTTTCTGCCAACAAATACAATTCTCTTTCTGGAAATAACTTTCATTTACACATTGAGTATCTTATTTTGGAAACATATAGGACAGCATCAAGTTTTCTGTTTTAGGATTTTTCTAACATGCATTTGACAAAAGTTGCCTCTTCTGAATTTTTAAGAATAGTACAGTAAAATAATGTGCTCTTATTCACCTGTATAGAGCATGTGTCTTTGTAACAGAATTAAGACTTCTCTTTCATTAGATATTTTCCATTAATGGTGATGGGTCAATGTAGTATTGCCAACTCCAAGAGCCTAAAACTCAAGATTTTTAAAGTATGTTTGAACTCCCCTTCCCTATTCCCAAAGCTTGAAAATTACAGGTTGAAATTTGTACCTTAAATCCATATGTAATGTCCCCATGTACAATGCAGGCCCCATTCCCCGTTTGCACTTGCTCTCTGACTCCATTATTGCCCTCCTACTGCCCAGACACCTCCCTGCTTCTTGCAGCCCTCCACACCAACCCTAGTAGGATGCTGGAGCTGCTTCTTTCTTTCCTTGGGCTCTGATCACCAATAACTTCCTCTTCTAACACTGTCGTGCTGGGGTGAGGCTGCTGAGCTGGGTGGGAAGTAAAGGGTTGTTCTTTCTGCACTTGTTCCAAGGCTTTGCCTGCTATGGGCAGCCAAGGGGTACTGTAGGCAGCTGCCAAAGGGAAAAACTGTAGGTGACTCTGGCAAAATTCCTGCGCTGTCTGTATTATCACAAGAGCCCCCAGAATCTGTCCGATTTACAGCAGTCACAGAATGTCGCAAGGATTGGCAACACTATCACTAGCTGATATTGGGAGTTGGAGCAATCTATTATGCATTGTGCTTCTCTGTGATAGGACAAGTATGCACACAAACCAAGGATTTTAATTAATATACGATAAATATAATTTACTTTTAATTTGGAAATTAAGTTATGTTCATGCAAGACTTCTCAAAGAAAATGTTTTCATCCCTGAAAATATCAATTTCTTATGCATTTACCATACAGAGATGTTACTATCTTCAATTTATTTCTGTGAATGTGGTCATGCAAAGAAATTAGTTCTGTTTACAATTTAATTTTTTACGTGAAATCCTGTCCATTTTCATTGGGAATACATTTTAAAATATATTGTAGTGACCTAAATCCTTATTACATATTTTCTGGAAATAATACTCCAGTTGGTACTGAAATGAACAGTTAGAAAGTGCAAGATTACCCATTATGGAACTTGATTCTTATGTTGTGTTTTTCAGTGAAAGCTAGATGGGATTGACAACTGAAGTTATAGTAAAATTTGCTCCCTCTAGTGGACTTCTACAGTATATGCCCACAGTTGTACTGATGTGTGTTTTGTTTGTGGTTAGATCAAGAAACACATGAGCTTGTTCTCAGACTCTTGTTCTGTGTTTCAGGTAGGGTGACCAGATGTCCCGATTTTATAGGGACAGTCCTGATATTTGGGGCTTTTTCTTATATAGGCTCCTATTACCCCCTCACCCCCATCCCGACTTTTCACACTTGCTGTCTGGTCACCCTAGTTTCAGCAAATGGATAGTAATTGTTTTTCAATACTATAACCTCATTCTACATTTTTCCTCTCCACTTCTTGATTTGGAAATTTTATGAAAACAGAGTAAAAGTTAATCTACTGTATTCCTGTATGGTTTTTTCCTACTTGAATTCAATAACTGTGACAACAAAGTCAGTTGCTGTGGAAATAATTGACCGTTCATTAGACTTACTTTAGGTGGTGAATAAGCAACAGGAGCAAGTGAGCCATTTACAAAACAAAATCTGAGTATTTTTTGTTTTGTTTTTTTGTTGTTGTTTTTTTGCCAGTATTACAAATAAGAAAAGAGAGGATCCTCAGAAAATTGTACAGGCAGAGATGTTCCTAAAAATAAGGCTGTTTGAAATTATGCGGTTATAATAGTTGCACATGACTATTCTTTCCAAATAATCTCTATTTTTAAATGTTTAGTGAGAGCCTAACCTATAAATTGCCGGTGGCTGTAAAGGTACAGTATTAAGGTATTTATAGATTAGTTTTTTTATTATAAATCCTTGAGGAGGTGAAAGGGACAAATTCTCTTTCCTGCTTCTGACACTTTCTTCCATGCCATATGCTTGTTTTGATGGTCTTTGGTTAATCTCGTTATTTAGTAAAACAAAAGGGCTTTGAAATATGTCCTGGCCAAAAAAAACCACACATGCAGAAGATTACCAAGGACTTTTTAAACAGATAAAAGAGAAAGTAGGTCACATTCTGAGCCTACCAACCTTGACAATGTTTCTTTTAAAATAGTTTTATTCAGTAAAGGGTAAACTTCAATATTTCCTCCCCATTCCTTTTGCTATTGTATAGACAATATTTTCCTGGGGGTTGGAATATCTGGCTAGTGTGTCTTGCCCACATGCTCAGGGTCTAGTTGATTGCCATATTTGGGATCGTGAAGGAATTTCCCCCCTGGTCAGATTGGCAGAGACCATGGGGTTTTTTTTGCCTTCCTCTGCAGCATGGGACACAGGTCAGTTGTCACTTGCAGGTTTAAACTATTATAAATGGTGGATTGTCTGTAACTTGATGTATTTAAAACATGATTGAGAACTTCCCTAACCTCTGGCTGAGTTACTGGTCTATAACAGGAGTGGGTGAGTGAGTTTCTGTGGTCTGCAAAGTACAGGAGGTCAGACTAGATAATGATGCCTAGTCCCTTCTGACCTTGGATTCTATCTTCCTCCTCTCTTATTGATATGGATGACACTTGTAACCTCCACCGTTGTAGTGACCACACAGATTTCTTTTTTCTCCTGCAAGCTCCTAATCTTTGTGCCCCTTTGTACACAAAATTCCAATTTCTACCATTTGAGGTTCAAGTGCTTTGAATTCTTATAAATTTTATGTTGACCTTTTGTTCTAAGTTCTAGGGAAGCGGTTTGGGGAAAATATTATACTACAAGTTTTTTAAAGGAATTTAACATGTGTTTGGCATATTAACAGTTAACCTTGAGAAGATGCCTGTAGTTTAATTAAGTGTTGTTCAGGACACCAGTTAACCTATTCTCCACTCTTTGGCTTCTCACACTGCACTCCTTCAGCCAGAGGAGCTCACGCTGCTGCTAATAAAGCTGAGACGGCAGCAAGCTGAACTGAGTAGTATCCGGGAACACACACTAGCACAGCTCATGCAACTAAAACTTGAGGCCAACAGCCCAAAGGTCAGCTATGAAGTAATGTGTGCTATGTACCATCCTCACTAGCTCTGAGCCATTCATTAATCAAAGTTTGCGTTATGCCATTAGTGCAAAGTTCTCTGGTTAGCCATGGATGTAGATTAGAATACCATTGTTGCCTTGCATATGTGATGTTCAGCTATTAACCCTTTGAGTTCTTAACACAAAGCTTGAGAGTACATTACTGAATCAAAATAGGGGTAGGAACACTTCCAAATGTATTGTTTCCACAAAACTGGAAGCAAAATTACAGGCTCTGTACATTGATCAGGTGAAATATACTAAAATAAGTAATAATTGCCGTAAACATAAATAATGCCATTAAAAAATGTATTATGGTAGATGATAGTGAATTTATTTTGATTTGCCTCATCTCAGGTGTGATTTGTTTTTTATAATTTGTTCAAAACTAGGTCATTCATTAAAGCACATAAACTTATCAAAGGGTTTATAGTTGCTATGTAGTCATGTATAGAAAATCCACATGCACGTACTGGTTTTCTGTGTGTATTAAGAAAATTGTTACTAAATTCACATGAATAAAGAAATGAAATTGCAAGTTAATACCTCATCAAACAAAGGTATACCTTTTTCTGTATCTTCCTGCTTCCTTGTCTAATTGAATATACTTGGCTTTTTAAAAATTTACTCTAGTAGTTCATAGTGATATTTGTAGGAAATTTTAATTATCCATTTTCTCTTGAGCTCAAAGCAGTTTATGTAAAAATGTATAGAAATGTAACGTTCGTTTTTAATTAGATTGAAAGATCACTGGCTAGTTTAACTCTTTCCAAACTGACCTTTTCATACATTCTGCACCTTCTGTCCCTTTCCTTTATCTTCTTGACTGCTGCCTGCTAGAATGAGATTCTTTCACATCACCTTCAAAGGAATGCCATATATTTGGATCATCAGGTGGGATTAGCAGCTTTTTCTTTGTTTGTCTCTGTGTGTGTTGCATGCTTTTTCCAAATTTAAAGATGCCAGATATTTAAAGATGTTTTCTATGAACTGGAGTTGAGTATTTTATATATTACCTTATTTACAGATCACAAAAAAATAAATTTTATTGAAAATTGGATATAATGAAATAATAAGAATCTGAGCATTAAATTTATACCAGAACGTAGTTTTAATTCTCAGGTTCCAGTTTATTCCTGCAGTTCATTGCTTTCCTGTAACTACCTAAAATTTCCTCAACTTTTTATCAACATAACCAAACTCATCAGAGATTTCCAAACTGACAAGTTTGACAAGCATACTATTCATAGAGAACAGCTAATTCTGATGATTTCAATGTGTTCAGAACAAAGAAAACTGAGATCAAACTTCAAAATACATTTTAAACAAAAGGCAACTTACCTAATTTTGTGTTTTGCTAAGCTATTTGGTCATGAGTTATGAATGAATAAGACTTTACTCCTTCATAACTCAGATTTTTCTTCTGCTGGATTTCAGAGTGAGAGCATAATAATTTGACATCAAAATCTGTTGATAAAAAAACAATTGGGATGTCATATTCAGCTTTTTGTCTTCAAGCCAGGATCAAATGAAATTTGCAAATGGGTTCTGCAAGAGAGCTTTTTAAACGGAATGATGAGACCTTTGACAGAAATAGAGAAAATCATAACAAGTACTTGAAAGGAAATATAGGCAAATTGATGTTTAACTATCGTTTTCTCACGTGAAAATCTCAAAACTGATTTTCAAACACTGCATGCTGAATTTTACATCTTAAACATTACACTTAATGCAAACAATTTCCTGATTGTTTTTGCACCTGGACATCCTATGCATTGCTGCAGTAGGCAGGACTTCATTGAATTGTTTGTTTAAAAAAAAAAAAAACTTTCTGGCTTGATTTTTCTATCACCTTGCACTTTGGGTGGTCACTTATAAATGCAAATTGAGTGCAAGGTTGCGTTCAAGATGAAATGCTACCATTCTGATTTGGTTGTGATTTACATTCATCTTGCAATCAGTTTGCACTGATGTATGTTGGTAAATGACTAACCAAGGTGTAAGGCGGTGGACAATCAGAAACTGTTAGTTGTGTTAGACCAAAGTATTTCATCCAGCTCAAACATTTCCAGCTTTGATTTTTTTATTGCTTATACAAGATGTTAAACTACTACTTATGTTCCATTTTTTAATATTATTGGTTGGTTACAGGGTTTGTTCAGTGATCTGTCTGTGATATTCTGATTTAAATAAAGGAAATGGCATTTATTGTTTGAGAGGTAGTAAAGCAGTTCTTTACTTGCATAGTACATCAGATAAAAACTGATTATTAGAATTCCAGAACAAATGTAATTATATCTTGTAAAGTTGAGGATTGCAGAAATACGTACTTCTGCATTTGTTGAGTTTCTTATAAATTCATTTAATGCTGGCATTTAAAAATATAAACCAAGTCTCTGCAGTAGATCAAGGAAATGGCTAAACTTCACATATAGTAAAAAAGAGGCAGTTAGTATAAAATGAGATTCCCAGTCATAAAATCATAGGGCATAAGGTTGGAATAAATGTTCTGGGTCATCTGCGCCATTCTTCTCCCCTCTCCCTTTGCACTAGAACAGGATTGTCCCATATACTATATAAATTCCGTAAGAGATTGTAATCTTCTTGAACACCTCTGGAGCTGGTGTTTCAACTACTTCCCTCAGCAAATTAGTCCATTATCAAATTGACCTTATTTTTAGGAGAAAAAAATCCTACTGCATAGCCTAAATTTTTCCTAGTCTAATTTCAGGCCAATGCTCCTTCTTTACAGCATCTTTAATCACCTTAAATAATCCTTTGTCCTCTTTGGGTTGCTTCATTTCAACTTGATATATAAATTATACATTTCCTTTTTTTGACTAGTTTGTAATTTCTGTATATAAAATTCCCTAAACCTCTCTCCATGGTGTGTGTAGCTGCACTCCAATCCTTTTATCTTGGTCACCCACCTTTTGGATTGTGAGGAACTCAGAACGGTACACATTGCCTACTGCCTCCTAACCAAGGCTGCATTGCACTCCACTCTTCTCAGTACTACGTGCAAAACCTTATGTATAAAGTAACCAATAGTGATTGCTGAGCTCTCTCAATGAAATATTGCCTGTGATTAAGATTAGTTTCACAAAGCCCAAGAAATCATAGGAACTTTTTTTTTACTAGAGGGCAGTTCTTTATATTGCTGTTTTCCTTGGAGATGCATTTTGGATTTTTGTTTTCTGTAGTTTTAGGTACATAAGGACAGTGCAGCACAAAATTGTCTCTAGACAATAGGTTTCCTTGAAATCTCATGGCCACCAGGAGTTTAGATCACCAATCAAACACCACCTCTTTTAAGAGGGGTTTGAACCACTCTTGTGGCTGTGGTATTCAGGAAACATCAGAGGAGCCAGATGTGTTTGCTGTCTTTTTCACAAGTGCCCACTTGGGACACCAACAGTGATCATAGGCATAGACTATTTGCTTGCCCAGTGCATGCTCTTTTTACGAGGGCGGTAGTATAAATGTAATCATGGCATTATATGAATCCAAAGGATTAGTTATCTAAGTGTACTACTAAATCCATTTCCAATGGCCTCTTTATTGCCCTTTTTTCCTGACCATGCTCACACCGAGAAGTAGTAATAACCACAAATGGAAACATCAAAATTTCAAATAAAGACTGTGTCCACAACACTTAAATGTTTTATTTCACCCATAAATGGATGTTTTATTAGAACCTGCACCCATTATCAGAGGGCAATTCCGTAAACAGGTCTTAGAACTTAATTGTAATTTTGTTACTGATGATGAAAATCTCCAATAATAACCAGCTATACTTTTCAGTGAGATTGAGTTATGTATTTTAGGGTTTGGTGCTGGGTCTCATCACCAGAGTATATGAGCACCTCCCAGATTAATTAGATTGTCATAGTGACGTACCTGTTGGATTGCATGAAGTCTTCTGTCTTCTTCCTTCTCTGATAGTAGGAATTTCTGCATGAGGTAGAGATTTTTCTGGGGCAGGAGACAATATTTCACCTCTAGTCAGCCCTGGATCAAGGAATCTGATAAGAAAGAGAGTATCTTTTATTCAATATGCATCTGTTCTTTTATGGTTTTCAGTACTGAAGCTTTTTACGGTATACATTTTTTTTAAACCTCAGGAAAAGTCAGAAATTGAATAATAGAAGAGAACTTCCTACAGGAAGAGTCTCTGCTCTCTAGCTGATCATAGTTGTAATGCAATCAGCATAGTGGATGCTGTGAAGTTTCATCTGTACAGAAAGATGTCAGTCACAGGGAAGAATACCTGATTAACTTACAAATGTGTGGGGCAATGGAGAGGAAAGAGGGAAAGAGAAGGGAAATGAACATCTTTTTGGTAAAACTCCACTAAGAGTTTTCTTGGATATTCAGCAGATTTTAGATTGGCTTATAATGTTGCTCTGTATTCTTTGGTGTTATGGCATCTGAGTATAATATACTCACAGATTTTAAATGCTAACTATTAAATGTATTCAGCTGCTTTTATGTATGTCTTGTTTAGGGAGAAATGTTGTTTCTCACTCGTATACCACACTGAGTATAAAAAAGCATAGCAAAGACAGACATCAGTTTTGGGGAAGGCTTAGTGATCTACAGGAAACAGCAGGCATATATCTAAGCTAGGTTTCTTGAATTCTATTCAGAGTTCTGCTACTGACTTGCTTTGTGGCATCAGGCATTTCCTTAAACCATTTTGTACTTTAGCTGGCTTGTGTAATACTTTTGTGACCGGGGTCCCGGGGAAGGGGGTCATGCTGAGGTTGCTCAATTACAGCAAATTGCAAAGAATGGGGCAGACAGTCCCCAGAACTGGTGGTTATTCCAACACTTAGATTCACCCAGCCAGCACCAAAACAGCTCTACTGGTTACACAGAAGCCAAAACACAATTCCCTTAAAGCAACCCAGCCTTGGGCACCCTTCTAGACAGCAAAGTCAAATATGATGGGGATTACTGAAAATCTTGTTCATCATATAAAAAGTTGTATCAATCCTAAAGGATCGGACACATTACCTCCCAAGTTAATGAATACTTTAGATAGTACCCAAATATACACTTACAGCCAATTCTTATTAACTAAACTAAAATGTATTAAAGAAAAGAGAATGTATTGGTTAAAAGATCAGTATACATACAGACATGAATACAGTTCTGAGATCAGTTTCATAGTAGAGATGATGAGCTTTGGAGTTGGATAGAGTTGTTTGGACTAAACCTATGGACTAATTCTATGTCCAATACCAGGGTGATCCAAATAAATTTGGAGACCTCAATATTGAAGCTCAGTGCTTCCCCTGATAAAACATGAGCAGATTTGAGATGAAAGGATCAGGTCCCAAGAGTCCTTTATACAGTTCCTGGGCAGCATGCAGTCCTTGGGTGAACAATGGGCTTTTGAAGTAACCTTTTGTTTCCTAACCATCACCAGTAATTAACTATATGGATTAACATAAAGTAATTATCCATTAAGCAGTTTATAGACAGTTTACCACAAACTTTAAAGAGACACATAGACAATGACGTTATTTCACCCAAGTTCAATCTAAATGTTATTTACGATATAGCCCTAGACAGGAAAATTTTGGTTACATTGTCCCCCCTAACAAGATGGGGTAAACATAGACTACTACAATGACTATCTTCTTCCAATTCTTTAACAATACAAGTTTACATTTTAAAGCTGTAGCCTATCTAACATGGAATGGCCCTAATTATATTTACATATTTTTTTCTAACATGTCTAACACAAGGTTGAATCTGGGTCAATTAGCCTGCAAGTTACTGTACTTAACCCTTTTTGGCCATGTGTCACAATTTTAATTTAAGTTTGTAAAAAGAACTTTGTATCTTCAGATAAGACAACTATTTAAATGCACTATTATTACTGTGTTATGGTGCAGCTGTTTGTAAAATTTTGTTTTCCTAGCACTCATAATATAATTTGGATCTGTTTTTATGTTAGTACTGTGACTAAGTTGCTGTCTTACTCAGTTTAGGTTCCATTTTGCTCTACCACTTCTGTTCAGATAATTGTACTGCATATCTGTGGGTTAGTATTTATAAAAAAAATGGTAGAGTGAAATTGAATAAATTGAATATATATTGTATCACCTCTTGACAAATATTGAACATTTAACAGTCTGTCATAGGGATATAAAAATAGTTTGGTTTCTGCTGGAATGGCCTTTTGGTCAGCACTTTGCAATGTTTTATACAGAGGATTTATTCCCAATTGTTGACCCTCCACGGTATTTAGGGACTGGGATTGCTGTTGAGCAGTGACCTTTCCAGTCAAAATTATGAAGTGCTGTTAACCTCCTCTAGTAAAAATGGAGGAGGAGGTCCCCCAAGATACAGTAAAAGTTGTGTTATCTGTCACTTTACCATCTGGAAAGCTCTAGAAACGGGCATTTTAGGATGCCAGATCCGGGCGGCACACCCCTTGGGCAGCTCCCCGCAAGCTGGTTTTTAGTAGTTTCCTATTTACTGCATATTATGGGGAACCTCACTGTTGTAGATACAGTATTTTCCTTCAACACAGGCCAGTTTAAGATTTGGTCACATGACTCAAAAATTGCCCTCTTAGTGTATGCTAAGAATGCTACTGATCTGCTGACAGGTAGTTATCAGCTGAGACGAACTTGTGTAAAGAAGCTAGAGCAGCAAGTAACTCTCGTTGCAAAGTAGCACAAAAACAGAGCTTTGAGACTTTTAAATTTAGTGAACACTTAAGTATTTCATATGTGACTATTACCTTATTCTGCTTCTCTTTAGGTTTGTCAACAATATACTATAGGAATAGGGGAAAGAAATCTTGCTAGAAAAATGGTACTGAAATAAATATTTTCAAATGTTCCCTGTGGCGTAAGGATCTTTACCTAGTGGGGTTGGAATAAAAATGGACAAATGTAAATAAGTGAGGAAAAATTCACTTTAATCCAAGATGAGCCTGCTTTTGCCTCTCAAACTCTACTGTTGTCTATAATGGGGATGTCTTAATTTACAGGACAATATAACTGTCTCATTTGAGGCACAGTATGAAATAAATTCCTCGCATATACTGGAACCTCAGTTTTTCCCACTAATACCTGGTAACCCATTGTGAATTAATGAATGTTGCAGATGAGTGAATAAATAAATGCACAATAAAGCAAAGAATGTATCACAATATACTTCATTTAGTAATTGTATCTTACTTTATTTGTAATTCAAATTTGATTCTTCATAGTATACTAGAAGTATTTGCTTTTTAAATGTAATGATTATAATTTTACTAAGAATGGGAGAGAAAACAGTTGTTTTTGTACAAATTATGGGGTCCTTAGCCAGTGCAAATTAGTAAGGTACCACTGATAAAGAAGGTTGGGACCCTCCCCTAAAACCACACACAGATTGGAGTTTTCAGTTTATGGGGAAATGGTTGTCACTTGGGTTGGAAAAAGCAGCTTGTTGTCTGTCACATCAAATTGGTGAGACAATAGTTAGTCCGTATAAAAATCCACTGTGTATACAGTTACGTGGTGAGAGAGATCACACACATACGTCCTCTATAGCTGGATGTAAAATTGATGTAGCGCAAGAACTGGTTGAAATTTTTATTCAAAGGGTCTTTCTACAAAAAATGGCATATCAGACTGGACATTTCTAAAGTAAATATCCATTTTTGATATTTTTTTCAATTTTTGTTGGGAAAACAGAATTTTTCACCCCTAAGACTGAAAATTACGGTTTTTGGTTTTTCAACGAAGTCTAAAAACGTCTGAAGAAAATTTTTGACAAACTTTTTTACTTTATATTGATTTTTGACAGGAACAAAAATATTTCTTAACCAGCTCTACCTAACACAATATTCAAAATCTTATAAGATGTAAGAATTCTCACCAGCATGCTGGCATAAGACAGCCATTTGCTCTATACATTGCTTGGATTTTTTTTGAATGCCTAATTCTATAAAAAATTTTCATAAATGATCACAGAATCTGTTTTAAAAATTGCACTTGTGGCAGTAAATATAAATGATTTGTTCTGCAAATATGGCAGCACATATGTCTAATCTAGCTTGAAACGTGCAACAGGTGGTTTCATAGCCATATATGGGTAAATGCAATAACTAATTGACTACTTTTGTATATAAAAAAAGTGCTGCATAAAAATTGCTGCAATGTTGATTGTGAAGTACTAGTGTAGATCATTGTAAACTTGATCTTAGTATTCAGTTCCAGAAGGGCTCAAATAACTGTAACATACTGAAGATGCAATCTACATTTTAATGTATGGGGGACTATTTTATGAGATGGTTCTTGGATAAGAATTTGTATGTTTCTTACTGCATATTTAAATTACTGTATTTGTATTTTAAATTACTTCAAATCTAGCTGGCTTATTTCTAAGTAATATCGTGGTTTGGCTACTCAGTATTTTATCCAGTCGTTCCTGATGTTTTACCTATTATAACTTGAGTTTATCGGTGAAACATTTGAAGTAATTAGACTTACTAGTAACATGAACCACAGTGGAAATGATGCAGCTTTTATGAAATATTAATATAGTAACACATTCTTTTGTATATGGGAAACATGAGTTTGATATTTATCACTTATGTTTTTCAAATATTTACTTTTTCTAAATGATGGAATCTTTAAAGGAATTGGTTAAAATTTAAACTGCTGCATTATTAGAAAAAATATTGAAGTAGAGGCTATATTTACAGTGTCGTCTTTCAAATCTAGCTATGGTGTAAACTGATGTTTGCTGTATGCTCCTCCTGATTTGAAATAGATGAAAGAGAATGAACCTTTAATCACCATGGTTCACACTATGATTGAGAACTCGGCGCTAAGACCACAACTGTACCAGCAAGTAAGGTCTTGGATAGTGAATGAAATTGCTTTATCATCTGCGAAAATTTTCCTCAGTGACAGTTTTTGGTTGTTCTTCAGATTTACTCATAACATCAGTGTTTCTCTTATTTGTTTTGAAAAACCACAAATCACTCATGCTTTATAAAATGCTGCGATATTATTAGCATGGCTTTTGCTGAACGCTTTTGTTGTTGAGTATATTAAGTGTACCCTTTTGGATAACTTTTTCTGTCTAGAATGTTTGATCATTTGGTATCATATGCAGGTGTCCAGTAAACTCATAAAATTTCCAACAAGCTTCCAACATTTGTCTTAACGTGGTCCTATGCACAATTAGCTTTCACAGGTGCTTCTTTTTGTTCAACACAAAAGCATGCCATTGGTGTTTACCTGGTCATATCTGGCAACTTTCTTCATTTTAGGAGATGGATTTCTAGATCTTTTGTTGTTGTTGTTGTTTGTTGTTTGCACCTAGTTAGTTCTTAGCCTTGGAGAAAAATGGATCAAAATAACTTAGATCTGGAGATTGTAGATCCAAGGGGCAATGTTTTATTAATCAAGTCATAGCAAACCTACCAGAGTACACATTTCTAGACTATATAGTCATGGCTGCAACTCTGCTGAGACATTAAGAGGGGGAAAATGTGCTGAATGGAAATGTCTTTGGCTTGAGACCTGCATTAACTTACAAGCATGGCCAATACAAATCTGTAAGCGCAGTAGTTCCTTAGACACATGAATTTTGCTGCACAAAATACTGTATTTCAAACATCAAAGTTTTAAAGAAGCCTAAGCATTCTTATTTAAGTGATTGCTGTATTTTGCAGCTAATTGAGCTATGAAAATCTCTGGCTGCCAAACAGAATAAATATTTGACCTGTTCCCTTCAAATTCAGGGATTACTCCAAACGGGGAAGAGTGGCAAACAAAGTTTCATGGCTAGAAGGGAGGGATAGTTCAGTGGTTTGAGCATTAGCCTGCTAAACCCAGGGTTGTGAGTTCAATCCTTGAGGGGGCTATTTAGGGATCGGGGGCAAAAATCTCTCTGGGAATTGGTCCTGCTTTGAGCATGGGGTTAGACTAGATGACCTCCTGAGGTCCCTTCCAACCCTGATATTCTAGTGATTCTAGGAAGGGAGTAAGACAAATTCTGCTTTGAAAAACGCTCATTGATGGTGATGAAATTTTTTGCTATGCCACTGTAATACAGCTCCCATGCAATTTTTGACCTTTATATTACTATATCACAGTGTAGAATATTTCTAAATGTTTAGGAAAACAGCCAGGTATCTTGAGATAAAGGGGAAGTGCTTTGAATCTCTAGTTTCTTCTTGGACTGAAACAGTGGCTTACATTAACAGATTTTCCTGGAACCAATCTCCCACTCTTGTGTGCCAAAAGACAAGCTGTTTTCAGACACAACTTTGAAGGGTTAGGGGTGCAATGGGAGAGCGAAGGTTCCTCCAGACCCAAACTAAATAAGATTTTTATATGTTTAAAAGCTGTCCGACTCACTGCTGAAATTTTTTGAAAAATGACATCAATTTTTAGAATATTTTTAGCTGCTTAAAATAATCCATGTACATATTAAAGTCTGTTTTATGGTAGAGATAACTTCATTTTATATTTGACACTGAAATAGCACCTTCTTGACAACCTTGTCAGAGACCATGAATCTGAAGGGTCATGAAGACTGAATTACCCTCTCTCCCCTAGAGAGATGGTCCCTCTAGAATGGTGTTTTGAGATGCATTGGCAGGATAGTGCAGGGGAAAGTGTGTACTGCATAAATAAGGGACTGTCATTTTTAGTCAGTCATTGTTCTTTCACAGCTCTAAATTTCTATATTTAAAAAAAAGGGAAAAAAAGCAGGAGCCCAAATATAGCTATTCATAGTAATTATTGGGTTAAAAAGAAATTTAGGTCACCAAAAATAAAAGATCACCCATTCTTCCAGACCACCTTGAACAAATTTTCTTCTACATTCTTAGCAGATGCCCTCTCTTAGCTACTTTCATTTACAACTGTGAATTTATCCCTAGGAAATAGCAAAGTGACTATTTGTTGTGGGTAACAGCTGAGATTATTCAATTTAGATAGTTGTTCCTGGGTCCTGATTTGAAACCATAATGAGGTATGTAGTAATGTAAACAACATAAAGATCCTGTTGTGACAGACCCAGACCAGTGGGGTACAGGAGTCTGGTAGAGGGCAAATATACTGATCACTGGATGAGTAGTTTTCTGTTCCCTGAGTGACCAGAGCAGGGGCTGCACTTGAGTAATCAGGAACCTGCTAGAACCAGTTAAGGCAGGCAGGCTAATTAGGACACATGGAGCCAATTAAGAAGCTGCTAGAATCAATTAAGGCAGGCTAATCAGGGCACCTGAGTTTTAAAAGGAGCTCACTTCAGTTTGTGGTGTGAGTGTGAGGAGCTGGGAGCAAGAGGTGCAAGGAGCTGAGAGTGAGAGGGTGTGCTGCTAGAGGACTGAGGAGCACAAGCGTTATCAGACACCAGGAGGAAGGTCCTGTGGTGAGAATAAGGAAGGTGTTTGGAGGAGGCCATGGGGAAGTAGCCCAGGGAGTTGTATCTGTCATGCAGCTGTTGCAGGAGGCACTATAGACAGCTGCAGTCCACAGGGCCCTGGGCTAGAACCCGGAGTAGAGGGGGGTCCGGGTTCCCCCCAAACCTTCCAATTGACCTGCACTGTGGGTTCTTCCAGAGGGGAAGGTCTCTGGGCTGTTTCCCAACCCACATGGTGAATCTCTGAGGCAGGAAAATCCGCCAATAAGCTCAGGACCCACCAAGGTAGAGGAGGAACTTTGTCACACTGTATTTTCAGTATTTGCATGTCAAACATTTTATTGTGAGATCTGGATATGGGGCAACTCAATCTATACTTTCAACCACATTTGAGGAGTAGAGCCTGGAACAAAAGATTTAATTTCCAAGATATGTACAGTTTTTTGAATGAAAAAATGTTAAGAAAACAGCCCAAATGAAAAGATGGGAGAGGGATTTAGGCAAATAAATTGATCTGGCTGATATGGGAAAGGCAATATAAACCCTCAATTTGTGTAGCTCATAAAGAAATTCCTGGTAAGATCCATCATATTTTTGGAACTAGGAAGGCACTTTGTTTGAAGGATTGCAGGAAAAGGGAAACATACTTGCACATGTGGTGGTTCTGTCCAGGAATTAGGGCTTGTCAACACACGGACATCAGGAAAATTAATCCGAATTAACTAAAGGTGTGAATTTTCAGTTTTAAATTTTAAGCCACATTAAGCCACTGTGGGAATACCCATTCAGAATTTAAAGTTTAGCTTGGATCATTTCCAAAGTGAATTAAACTAAACCAAATTAAGGCCACTTTAATTATGAATAAGTGTTCACACAGAGATTTAATACAGTAAAATTCATCCACTGAAATTAACTTTTTATTCATATTGAAGAAATGTAGTAATCAGCTACCTATCCTCTTTGGCTAGCTCTGCTGGACACATTCAGGTACAATTAGATGAGCCTGAACCAGTACCTAACAGTACGAACAGTAAATTGGAGAAAACTTAGATTGTCCCTTTGCAACATCTCTAGACAATCTGTCCTTTTCTCAGTGTTAAGTGAGGTATATTAATGTTATATGAAGGGGATTCTATTGGTGCAAATTCACGAATAAGCCTAAACTAAGGCTTAAAATTTGAGACAACTTCCTGTACTGTGTTGACTTTTCATATTTTAAAGATCACACCGGATTTTAACGTGAATGAGTTAGAATATTGTGTGTATAAAGCACAATGACACTGAAAAGACAAGATTAAAATCTGGTTAGAACAAGATGACATGCATGCCTAATGTCAGCATGTTTATGCCCAAGAAATTGGAAAACCATTTAAGAGCAGATCGCAGCCCCATACTTCAATCTAGGACAGCAAGATGTTGAGTTGTCATACACTGTTCACCAGTTGCACAAATTAAAGCTGTTGATGGGCTATTAGCTTATGATCCTGATGTTTAGAAATATTTTCTAAGCTTTGTTTTTGAATTTGTTCAACATTCTTATTTGGCCTACATCCTCTTTTCCTGCATTTCTTGTCCCTATTTGAAATTCTACATGTTGTATTATGCGAAATGCAGTTTTCACATCTGATACATAATACATTCAAACCACAGTATATTCTTACTACTAAAGACATACTCTTTCAGCTAAATTACATGAAAGTATCACTGAGTGTCGAATAGGTCCATGTATTCATACTAATGGGTGAAAAGGGCCTTTTAAAAAATGCTACTAGAATCTTAAAGAATATCTCACCCTCCACACAAAAGCCCCAACTTTTTGTTTAATTTCCTCACTAGAACAATCTCCCAAAAGATGTTAAACATGCCATCAGTTGTGAAATTCCATGCCACAAGACTTTATTGAGGCAACAAGCTTAGTGTAATTTTAAAAAGTTTTAGAAATGTATATTAATATCTGCACTTACACTGGCTAAAATAAAAACACAAGGATACAAGCCCTCATGCTTCAGGAAATAAACCCTCCAATAGTTGTCTTAGGTTAGGAAAAAACTTCCCCTGTGAACATCTTACATAATGTCCATTTTCATGGTTTTATACCTTGCTGTTATTCAGCAGATATTGCCCGTTGTCTAAGATGCGATGGACTATGTTGGACTATGGACTGTTTCTGTAACTTTTGAAATCTCTACTTGCTAAATTCTTCTTTGTAGATATACGTATTGTGCACAAGACTTAATTCACAGATAGATATTTTCAGCATTACACATGGACATTACACATTTTTCATTGAATGCAATGGCAGTTGTGTAACACCATTGTAACCGCACGCAGAGAAATATTTGCCCCAACTATACATGTAGCTTACACTAGCAGCAAGCAATAAATAATACTTCAGGAGTATTTAAAATGCTATTAATTCCTCTGCACTCATACAGTGTGATTTCACTATATATTTCAATGTTAGCAGAAATAGG